TTTTTCCATCACCAAGGTGCACTATTTCAACTATTTGCAAAAAGCTAACCAAATGACTGATGAAGTCGAAACTTTTATAGCTGTCGTTTAAAAGTTGCAAGATATACAAATTATGATTGATTTTGTTCTGACGTTGCCACCTGTTTTGTGAAGTCGGTTAATTATCCATACATCTAGTAAAGTCGATTTTATCTGAAATCGTAAAAGACTGTTTCCCTGCCGGTGTGGCTGTACATATAAGACCAAGACAAAAGATAAAAGACATATCTAAAATCAAATATTAGATATTTAGTTGATATTGATTAAAATTTGCTATGACCTTGCATTCCGACTCTAGCACAAGAGTCTTTATATACTGAAAACATTGAATAGGGCTGCTCTTGAACTGTGAATAAATAAGCATATACGAGATCATAAATCTCGTATAGTAAAATGTTATGATAGTAACTTAAATTTTGTGAGGTAATTGTGAGTAATTTAAGTTGCCGTTAAACGTGTATAATTCGTATATTTTTTTCACAGTTGTTATTATATTTTAATTTTAATTTATTATTTTAATTAAATATTAATAATCTGTTTATTTCTAACTTAATGAAATTTGTAATTATCTCCATAAATTTTTATTTTAATTAAAATTTTTACAGCTTTTCATATTAATGTGATTAATCTCAAAATTTGATGGAATTTGCATATAAATTGTGGTATGTCATAAATATGCCAATTATTTTATACTTTTTCTTTGAAAACTGCAATTCAGCAGATAGTTATAAAATAGTTTCAAAGATTGTACGTAGAGCATTAGCTCATTAATTGTAGCTTTTGCTGCTGGCATATGATGTCACCTTGTCTTGTCTTGGTCTTTAATGTGTCAATAAGCCTACTTTTCTATGAACACATAAAAATTTGTTGTATTTAAAATTGTTTTTTACCACGTCTAGCGCTTTTTTTTGTTTGTTGAAAAAGTTTTTATGACGGTAATTACTTTGTAGGTCAACAACATTAAAAAACATGTTTTGCATGTCTGTTAAATGCAATTTTATTTTTCATTATATTTTTTGCAACTAATTTGGACTAGAAGTAATTTGCAAAATATGTTTATTTGTGCTATGAAATTTTTTAAAAATTTGCATAGTGCATTTTATTTTTAAGTCTTTTAATATTAAGCAATTGCTTTGAATTCAATAAAAATTTCTTAATCGGAAATATGTTTTATTGATTTATAAATACACACGATATTAAATTACAAATTCGTTTCAGATATCGAAAGAACGCACCTCTACTCACGCTTCAGTTAAGAACTTTGATTTAATTTATGGCAATATATTTTATTCAGTATCTTTACACAAAAAACTCAGAAACTCGTTTATGAGATTACACAAAAAAATCTGTATGACAGTAATTCACGCTAAGCCAAGCCTACAACATTTCGATAGTGCACCAAAAACCGGTGCTATAAACTATATGTATGAGGGGGAAAAATGAAATAAAAATAAATATGCACAGCATAAAATAATAAAATAAAATAAAATAAAATAAATATTCACGAAAAAAGAAAAAAAACTGTCTACAGAGAAAATTGATAAATGCACATAAGTTGCATATTCGAATTAAGCGCGGCTCAGATCGCTCAGCTTAACTCCAACTTCATTCCTGAAGCCGTGAGACATGCATTTTTTTTTGTCTATTTTTAGTTGCTGCACATTTATTATCGCCTCTAACGCGTTTCTGTGTCTTTCTGAGCCATGTTTTAACTTGGCTTGACGTTACGTTAAGACAGTCATTGACCTTATAGCCACTTTAACCGTTTTGTGCCGTGAAATACCAAAAGTAGTAGGCAATGAACCGAATGCGTTGCGTTCGAAATTTGTGTTGTAGTATCTTTACTTTTTTTTTTTTTGTTAATTCGTACTCATTTTCAAAATCATTTCATTTTCATGAGATGAAGCTTGTTTTTTTTCACTATAAAAACCATAATTTTTTTTTACTTTATTTAATTTTCTCGGAACAAAAGTAGGTAACGCTAGGCACCGTTAACTTTTTCCCCATTTACCTCTATTGTTGTGGCTGTTTTCTTTGTTTTTTCTTTTTCGTGCACCCAACCCAACTTAACTTTATTTGTTATTTGATCAACAATTAAATGAGATACTCAGATACTCTACACAATTTCGGAAAAAAGTAGTCTTGTTACTTTGTGTGTTTAAGTTTTTTATTTTTGGTTTCAACTACAAAACAAGGTAAACATCGTTTACGTATTGTATGACGCTGGTGCACGTCATTGTTTCGGAGTCATATAACGTCATCGACAACGCCACCGGTTATGCGATAGGCAGAAAACCTATTTCACTTTGGGTCAACTTCATCGCTGCTATATTTTTATTTTTAGACTAAAGTTGAATTTGTCTGCCTCACAATGGAGTTTCGCTTTTTATTTTAAGCACTAAAAAACAACTATTATTGCATCAGGTTGCAGGTATGATCCCATTGCATAAGAGTATAAATGTCATATATATACAGATATTAGTTATATAATATATACCATATATATATATATCATGTGTGCATATATTCGTTAAGCTCTGTTACTGCTATTTCCGTTTTTATATCATAATTAAGTGCTTGCCATGCATGCATGCATTTCATTGAATGAAATATTTTTGGCTTTTGTTGTTATAAATTGAAAGCTAATTATTCTATATACATTCCTTCATAATGACATGTTTGCTTTTGGGTACTATCACAGGTATTTCCCATATGACATACATAATGAGCGAAATATTTAAAATGCAAATTGCAAATTTTTAAATTAGAGACTTTTATAAAACTAGTGTTTTGTTGGTCAATATGAGTTTTACTAGTTAAAACTTTTATACTTTAAATCTTTAGTAAATTATTTTATTATTCATGAAACCTTCTATTCTTTTTTTTAATTATATATTAGTCTAATTTATTTGTTATTACTATTCTATTATATTGCATCATTATATTAATTTCAAACCATTGTATTGGTGTTAGCAATAAATATCAAAACTGGGGTATCAATTGTTCACTTAGAATGATGATCCATTTGAGATAATACAATAGAGAAATAAAAACTACATAAGTTCCTCTGCTGAAAATGCGAGAAATTGACTTATATGCAGGGTTGTTGACGAACTTTGCAACAAAGTAAAAAGCTCTATTTTGTTTATTTTTGTTAAATTTAATGAAAGATATATAATATATGCGAAAAGAATCTTAAATTTTTAAGTTCATTTATTTTGGTTCAATATGGCTACCTCTAGCATGAATCATAGCCTTCAAACCGCCAATGAAGCTATCGCACTCTGCCCGCATATGGCTTTGCGGTATTTTGGCTTATTCTCGGCTTAGCGCTAGCCTTAGACGATCGACATTTTGGTATTTTTTAATGCCAACCTTACTTTATAAAATACCCCAGCCCGAGGATTAATGTCGGGTGAAAACTGTGTTGATGGAATAAAGCACGGAACTTTGTTTTTCAGCTATTCTTGGTTATTCTTGATTGACAAGTGTTTTGTGTGATTGTGCTGAGTCCTGTTGGAATGTACAACGCCTGCGAGTGAAATGCTCATCTGCCTAAGGCTTTAGTGCTCCCTTTAAAATAATTTCCCAATAGATTTAGGCGTTTATTTTTACCCCACGGTCAAAATATGATGAACATGAGTCGATGAACATGAGCGGAGAACATGAACGGAGAGCGACCATCGGCCGTTACGGTGAACCACACCAACACCAACGGTAGCGCCTGCTTTCTGGTGGTCATTCATACATTTCAATTTTCAGTTGATCTATTTCGCCAGGAAGGGACGCCTATCTGTAGTTGCCAGAATGAACACGTTCTAAAGCCAGGCGTTAATATTTCCATTTCTTTAATCTATCGTCCTTTTTTATTAGCGTTTTAGTTAGGTGACAGAAAATTAAACGGTTATCTGCTCCTTGCAAGATTACATGCAAAGTCCATTGAGTAACTCCACTGGTTTCTGTTTAAACTCATATCCAACACAGTATAGCAGTGTACTTATGGGTTAAAAGAAAAGTACTAAGTTGATAATGATGACTGATTAATTCTCTGTATTGATGTAGATATAGTCTTGCAACACCTTTAAATGTTTAACTTCAGCACAGACATTGATGGCGTTGGCCTAAACTTGAACATAACAAATTTAACACACTGTACATTCAGTACTTCAGTGTAGTACATTTGTCTTTAGTACTACACCTCTATATAGTATCATAAGCTTTATTAAAAGTTCTGGATGGTTTTAGCCCATGGGTTCTAAATAATACGATATCACAATGGGCCTATAGGCCTAAGTGGATCCCCCTGGGATCGCCGGTATAACCTAACCTAACCTAACCTAGTACTACACCTAAAAAAATGAGTTTTTTTTTTAATTTGAAATAAGTTTTTGAACTAAATATTACTCAATCTGAATTTATATTCTATAATTAAAAATTGATTGGATTACTGCAAATGATTTCTTTTTTAGATAATAACTTTGATGTTAAAGATAAGTTATTAGTCTTTTTTCTCTTCAACGTTATTCGGTATAACTGCGATTGACAACTTAATATAAATTTATAAACTCTAATATCCGGTACTTCCGGGAAACCAATATAGTTGGTGCTTTGATTTTAAATTGAAATTTTGAATTATTTCATTTATAAACGTTAATATAATAATTAAAACGAAAACATATTATAAAACGAATTTTGCCCTAAAATTGTTTTCACGTGATATCACGATGAGAAATCGTGTGAAATAAAATTCGTGCATGCGAGGCAATAAAAATTAATGTCTTAATGTTCCCAATTTAAACTGTTAAATTAAAATTAAGTAGATTTTTAATAGAAACTTGTTTTCGATTTTATAAAAATATATTCTTCTATATTCTAGACCAATGATATACCATTAATAATAATAAAGAATTATTATTTTCATACATCAATTAGTTTAATTTATTTTCTGCATTATTTTTCAGATATTGAAGGTGAATTTAAAGTAACTCTATTCATCGGATCGCAAATTATGCTGTAAGTTAATTAAAAAAAATTATTTTCATTCTTATTTAATTTATTTATATAATAGTATGTAATAATATATTACTGCATATTATGAAATATCGCAAGCAATATTTTAATATATTGATCAACAATTTTAAATTAAGTTGGAAATTAAATAATTTTTAGCAATAAATTTCTTAAAGTAAATTTGATTTAAATTAATTTTAATTTTAACTTAATTTAAAATTTCTTTCAATTAAATTATATTTAAATTAATTTTAATCTAATTTGAAATATCTTTAAATTAAAGTTATTTCAAGGAAATTTAAATTAAAGAGGAAAAGAGAGGGAAAGAGAGAGAGAGAGAAAGAGAAGAGAGAGAGAGAAAGAGAGAAGAGAAAGAGAGAGAAGAGAGACAGAAGGGAGACAGAATAGAGAGAGAGAAGAGAGAGAGAAGAGAGAGAGAAGAGAGAGAGAGAAGAGAGAGAAGAGAGAGAGAGAAGAGAGAGAGAGAGAGAAGAGAGAGAGCGAGAGAAGAGAGAGAGAAGAGAGAGAGAAGAGAGAGAGAAGAGAGAGAGAAGAGAGAGAGAGAAAGAGAGAGAGAAGAAAGAGAGCGAGAGAGAGAGAATAAGAGAGAGAGAGATAAAGAGAGAGCCTTTTCTTTTGTGCATTAGCCATATGCACTGTGACGAATCTCCTTAAAAGCAGCGCACATTTTAACATTATATAACTGAATTATCCAAATGTTTCTAATGTAGACTTCAGTAAATTGGTGACAAAAACTCTATAAGACTTAGTACAACTTTTGTGATAAGTTGTTAGTTTTCTTTATTTACATATATTGATAGATACTAGCATTTGTGGTATATTTTTGTAGTATTAAAAATTATTATGAAAAGATTTAATCTGGATGCTTAGCATCGGTTTATTTTATTGGTCTACAGTATAATGTTATACCGTTTTTAATTGGTAAATTTGGGATAAGCTTTCTCAATCGAGATTTACTTTTAGTGAAATTTTTCGATTAGAAAATATCGAGTGAAACGTATAACTCTATAACTCTGTATAATTTATAACACTTTAGATATTTGGCCAAAGTAGCAAGATTACCCTGAAATTAACAGCTGTTTGCTATGACTTGACAGGTAAAGTGTGATTTGATTTCACATATGAATTTATGACAGATATAATTGTCTCTTAACAGAACTACTAAAATGTTACATCATATTAAAAACGATCGATTTTGCAACAAAATTTGACAGATCAAGACTAAATCCAGATTGTATTCAGATATACGAATCAAAAACTCCATTATATTGTTTTAAAACCTACTCTATTTAAATATCAGTAGAGTAATTTTTCTATTTGATATGTGAGCAGTATAATATGGTAGTTATAGACAATATATTTGTCTTATGTTAAAAATTGTTTAATTATTGTTTTAAAATTGATATATTTCAATAGTTTACCTTTAGGAATATAATTCTTAAAATATTCATTGTATATGTTTACGGCTATAATAACAATAATATGCTTCTGTTTTCTAAAATCTGGAGTACAGTCTCAAAAAATGAGTGTTTAAAGTTATATAGAATATATAGAATATAAAATAAACTATATAAAACAAATCAATGCATATTTGCTCAAAAAGGAAATTGTGGTTTCCTTGAACTTTTTATATAAATTATGATTTACATTATAATGCATAAGTAGGCTGGGCTCTGCCCCAGAAAAAGTTATTTTTTGAACTTTCGATATTGTTGCTAATTTTGTGGTTGTCTATATAAAAGTTAGTGAGATATATTTTTTTATAATCCAATAATTTGTGCTGTTTATAGTTCACATGATTAGTAAGCATACATCATTGACGTGAATACCATGAATGAATGATATAAAAATATATATACAAGTAAGTATGCAGGAAGGAACTACAATTAATAAGAATTCATTCAAACTTCTCACTATAAATAAAAAATTACTGTTGCTAATTCTGTGGTTGGCTTTGGATAACTATATATTAGATGATGAGATATATTTTTAATACACTCCAATAACTTGTGCTGTTTATAGTTCACGTGAATCATCTGGTAAGCATATATTTATAGTTATCTAAAGTACGTCAATAATAATGGAGAAATTGCAAATATTAAGATTGCATTCCAACTTTTTACTATAAATAAAAAATTACAGACCCATATTTTAGTTGTCTATAAACTATTTTTTTTAAGTAAGTAGTAAATCTTGAATCACTTTTAATAATAGTAATCTTAGTCCTAGTAATATAAATAAAATGAATTAGTTACATTTTTTAATCAGGGAAATATTGGAGATTAGTCAGAATAATAACTGTTCCATTGCTTACTCAAATGTATTCTACTGCCTCTACTATTTAATCGGTGGTTTAACGATGACGCAAAGACTTTCGTTAATGTTTTTTACTATTTTTTTTTAACTTGTGTTTTTGTTTATAATTTTTAAATCAAATCATCAATTATGTATATGTATAGTTCTTCTCTAAAATATCTGCTGTTAGGTTAGATGCTATTACTTTAAGAATTATACATTCTTGCTATAAACAAAATGTTATTATATGCTTTTTGTCGTTAAACTACAGAAATGGATTCAAAATTAATGAACGAGTGAGCTGTGGTATATTTTCTAAAAAACTGGAGTGTCTTTTAGGACGGTACTTACCAAAGCTGGAACTCTGCTCTCTGATATATACATCTCAGATATTCGGGTTGTACTTGCAACTTGCATGTGAGATGTCAGTAAATGTTTTTGGTAGTACTGACCTATAAAACTGTATGGAAGCTATATTACCCATTTCTATTTATTTAATCCTTGTTGTTCTTACAGTTCTTGTTGACCTCTATATATAGAGTTTTACCAATAAAACTCTATGCATAGTTCTTCTGCAAGTCATATACAGTTAACCTAAATAGCTACAACCTTAAAGATTTTTTCAGCGTTTTCAATATGTGGGATGTCGTCAGATGGTTTGACCTATCAAACCATATTTAAGTTATGTTACATATGTCTGTTTTGTTAATAGCCGCTGCTGCATATACTTTTTAGTCATCATTGTTGGAGCATAACAGTAAAACGCTATGTTAAGTTTTTCTGCTAGTTATCTGTAGTTAATCTGGTTTTTAATCTTGCAGATTTTTTGTATAATATGTGTTCCATGTGAGATATCGCCGTATAGTTTTTGTTATTCTAATGATTTTCTCACCTATGTCTGTTCTCATAATCATCTGTTTTATTAAGTGCATCTGTTTATTATAGTTCGTTGATCAAATCGAAATAGTTATGGTAATTAATTGTTTATTTTTGTTTGCCATAAATTTATAGTTAACATACAGGGTTAGACGATTGTAGTGTTACCCACTATACACAGATCTATCTGTTAAACTAATATTGCCAATTACGTAAAATTCGTACAAATGACAACTGTTTATATTGTTTATAACGTTTCACAAACATTTCCGTCAAAGTTTTATAGAACAAAAGTTATTCGAAATTGAACTTAAACGTAATATTATGATTGAAATATATTTATCTGGAAAATCACAACCAGCTATGGTTCGTGAGCTTAAACACCTCAAACTGAATCGTACAATAAATTGTTATAGTAGTACAGACTACTATTTTTGTGGTGGACGAAAAAAAACAGCACCATGCCTTGAAATGGTTCGAAATGTGAAGGCTCGACTTAAACGAAATCCACATAGCAGTGATAATCACATGTCCAAAGAACTAAAAAAATATCCCAGCGAAACATCCGATGCATATTTCAATATAAATTCAAGGTAAAGCCTTACAAGTTCCAAAGGGAACAATATTTCACACCAAACATTAAAGCAACAAAAAGTTTGACCCAAAAGAGCAAAGGAGTTGTTGCGAATTTCTAAACATTGTATTCTCTGATGAGAAAATCTTCTCCATTGATTAGTTGATAAACTATTAAAGTGTTTACTTAACTGAATGGACTGATAAAAATTTGGGAGTACAAATGACAAATGGGAGTACACATCTCAAGTAATATGGACAGCTGTGACCGCCGGTGGATGCTCTTCAATCGTTTTCATCGACCCTGCTGTCAAAGTCAATGCGACTAATTATCGGAAAAATGTTTTGAAAGTTGCTTTGGACACATGCTGTGGACATAATGTATACATAATGTTTGAAATGTATCGATATGTTTATAAAAATACTGCATAAAAGTATAATTTTCTATATAAAATTGATAATGTCTTCGATTGTCAAGGTTTTCTTAATATCTTACACCTTCTCTAATTACCGCCACGTCATCCAAACAATTGAAAAGAGTTGTAACGTTCAAAAGTGAAGTGGCAAGAGTAGCAAATCTAAAAGCAGACACAATAAAATCCATTATTTAGCACTTCAGTATTTGACGATACTATAAATCACAACATCAGATCATATCTATCATCTATCATCAAATTAAATCAAATCAAATCACAAATGTTGCTGTCAAAAGCGAGCAATGAGAAGAGCCAAGTCAAGAGCATTGCAATGGAGGAAAAAACGGAAAAAATGTTGCATGTAACCAAGTGACGAAATGCCGCACTTGATCGCAACGAATTCACTTCACGTGACGTGCAAGTTTATTTGTATGAATTGATGTGCGAGAGTTGCCAGTAAATTGAAATTCATTATCGTCATTATTGTGATCTTCATTGATATTGCCAGTTCAATTGCAATTTGTATTCCACTCCCGATTAATTTATTGTTATTAGCAGAAATTGCTGGCGTACGTATTGAAAGTTTTATATTGGAAAATTGTTGATTAAACATTAAATTTAATATCAAATTTCTTCACGTACTACGCTTGTCTCTTTGCGTTAGAATTGCATTTCAACTTTTATAAAATGGCAAAATTTCAAATATTTTTTTATTGAAATATTATTTTTTTATTATTAATTAAGCATTAAAGTAACTTAAAATGGGAAAATGTGCACATGTCATCGATTGCTTTCGAAAGTTGTCGGTATGAAATATTTTAA